CATACCCAACACGTGAGCGGTGGTGGACCCCATACCCATCACGTGAGCGGTGGTGGACCCCATACCCATCACGTGAGCGGTGGTGGACCCCATTCCCATCACCACAGTGAGCTCAGGGACTGGACCCCAATATTCGTCTCGCTCAGCCCTCATTGTGATACTTATACAATGAATGTACTGAAGTTTTATGTAAAAGATTGCAAATATTAAACACATTTATGATTAGAGCTTTTAACTTTAACTTGCTTGAAATTTCTGATAGTCACAAGGATAGTGAAGCAGCTACGGTATGGTATTATGAGTCTACGCTACATGGTCACACTACTCTACGGTACATGGGCACACTACTCTACGCTACATGGTCACACTACTCTACGGTACATGGTCACACTACTCTACGGTACATGGTCACACTACTCTACGGTACATGGTCACACTACTCTACGGTACATGGTCACACTACTCTACGGTACATGGTCACACTACTCTACGGAACATGGTCACACTACTCTACGGTACATGGTCACACTACTCTACAGTACAAGTTTACAATGTGACCACTATACCTACACTCAGGCTACTGGGCTAGAGTACACCCAGGATACTGGGCTAGAGTACACTCAGGATACTGGGCTAGAGTACACCCAGGATACTGGGCTAGAGTACACCCAGGATACTGGGCTAGAGTACACCCAGGATACTGGGCTAGAGTACACCCAGGATACTGGGCTAGAGTACACTCAGGATACTGGGCTAGAGTACACCCAGGATACTGGGCTAGAGTACACTCAGGATACTGGGCTAGAGTACACCCAGGATACTGGGCTAGAGTACACCCAGGATACTGGGCTAGAGTACACCCAGGATACTGGGCTAGAGTACACTCAGGATACTGAGCTAGAGTACACCCAGGATACTGGGCTAGAGTACACTCAGGATACTGAGCTAGAGTACACCCAGGATACTGGGCTAGAGTACACTCAGGATACTGGGCTAGAGTACACCCAGGATACTGGGCTAGAGTACACTCAGGATACTGGGCTAGAGTACACCCAGGATACTGGGCTAGAGTACACTCAGGATACTGGGCTAGAGTACACCCAGGATACTGGGCTAGAGTACACCCAGGATACTGGGCTAGAGTACACTCAGGATACTGGGCTAGAGTACACTCAGGATACTGGGCTAGAGTACACCCAGGATACTGGGCTAGAGTACACTCGGGATACTGGGCAAGAGTACACCCAGGATACTGGGCTAGAGTACACCCAGGAGACTGGGCTAGAGTACACCCAGGATACTGGGCTAGAGTACACCCAGGAGACTGGGCTAGAGTACACCCAGGATACTGGGCTAGAGGTCTGGCTATTATCAACAAAAACAACATTGTGTCAGTTGAACTGTTAGAACACATACGAAATGGAACCAGCGAGTCTAAATGGATTCAAAGAACAGCCACTCATATTAAAATGATGGGACTGCACGATGTATACATAGATGTGTATGTATACACTAATCACAAGCAACCCTCATGCTCAGCTTGCTGCTAAATTAAGCACCATAGAACACATTCACAATATACAAGCTGAAAACAACATAGCACAGACCATATGCACTGACGGATCACTCAATACAGCTACAGGGAGGGCAGGAAGTGCTGTTATTGCTCATCAGCCCGATGGCAGCACAATTCAAAGGAATATCCGAATTAGTTACTGGGCACTCCAACCCCAGCCTGGAGTATGCTGCCCTAGCATGGAACCCCAGCCTGGAGTATGCTGCCCTAGCATGGAACCCCAGCCTGGAGTATGCTGCCCTAGCATGGAACCCCAGCCTGGAGTATGCTGCCCTAGCATGGAACCCCAGCCTGGAGTATGCTGCCCCAGCAAGGAACCCCAGCCTGGAGTATGCTGTCCCAGCAAGGAACCTCAGCCTGGAGTATGCTGCCCAAGCAAGGAACCCCAGCCTGGAGTATGCTGCCCCAGCAAGGAACCCCAGCTAGGAGTATGCTGTCCCAGCAAGGAACCCCAGCCTGGAGTATGCTGCACCAGCAAGGAACCCCAGCCTGGAGTATGCTGCCCCAGCAAGGAACCCCAGCTAGGAGTATGCTGCCCCAGAAAGGAACCCCAGCCTGGAGTATGCTGTCCCAGCAAGGAACCCCAGCCTGGAGTATGCTGTCCCAGCAAGGAACCCCAGCCTGGAGTATGCTGCACCAGCAAGGAACCCCGGCCTGGAGTATGCTGCCCCAGCAAGGAACCCCAGCTAGGAGTATGCTGCCCCAGAAAGGAACCCCAGCCTGGAGTATGCTGTCCCAGCAAGGAACCCCAGCCTGGAGTATGCTGTCCCAGCAAGGAACCCCAGCCTGGAGTATGCTGCACCAGCAAGGAACCCCAGCCTGGAGTATGCTGCCCCAGCAAGGAACCCCAGCTAGGAGTATGCTGCCCCAGAAAGGAACCCCAGCCTGGAGTATGCTGTCCCAGCAAGGAACCCCAGCCTGGAGTATGCTGCACCAGCAAGGAACCCCAGCCTGGAGTATGCTGCCCCAGCAAGGAACCCCAGCTAGGAGTATGCTGCCCCAGAAAGGAACCCCAGCCTGGAGTATGCTGTCCCAGCAAGGAACCCTAGCCTGGAGTATGCTGCCCCAGCAAGGAACCCCAGCCTGGAGTATGCTGCCCCAGCAAGGAACCCCAGCCTGGAGTATGCTGTCCCAGCAAGGAACCCCAGCCTGGAGTATGCTGTCCCAGAAAGGAACCCCAGCCTGGAGTATGCTGTCCCAGAAAGGAACCCCAGCCTGGAGTATGCTGTCCCAGCAAGGAACCCTAGCCTGGAGTATGCTGCCCCAGCAAGGAACCCCAGCCTGGAGTATGCTGCCCCAGCAAGGAACCCCAGCCTGGAGTATGCTGCCCCAGCAAGGAACCCCAGCCTGGAGTATGCTGCCCCAGCAAGGAACCCCAGCCTGGAGTATGCTGTCCCAGCAAGGAACCCCAGCCTGGAGTATGCTGTCCCAGAAAGGAACCCCAGCCTGGAGTATGCTGTCCCAGAAAGGAACCCCAGCCTGGAGTATGCTGTCCCAGCAAGGAACCCTAGCCTGGAGTATGCTGCCCCAGCAAGGAACCCCAGCCTGGAGTATGCTGCCCCAGCAAGGAACCCCAGCCTGGAGTATGCTGCCCCAGCAAGGAACCCCAGCCTGGAGTATGCTGCCCCAGCAAGGAACCCCAGCCTGGAGTATGCTGTCCCAGCAAGGAACCCCAGCCTGGAGTATGCTGCACCAGCAAGGAACCCCAGCCTGGAGTATGCTGCCCCAGCAAGGAACCCCAGCCTGGAGTATGCTGTCCCAGCAAGGAACCCCAGCCTGGAGTATGCTGTCCCAGCAAGGAACCCCAGCCTGGAGTATGCTGCACCAGCAAGGAACCCCAGCCTGGAGTATGCTGCCCCAGCAAGGAACCCCAGCCTGGAGTATGCTGTCCCAGCAAGGAACCCCAGCCTGGAGTATGCTGTCCCAGCAAGGAACCCCAGCCTGGAGTATGCTGCACCAGCAAGGAACCCCAGCCTGGAGTATGCTGTCCCAGCAAGGAACCCCAGCCTGGAGTATGCTGTCCCAGCAAGGAACCCCAGCCTGGAGTATGCTGCACCAGCAAGGAACCCCAGCCTGGAGTATGCTGCACCAGCAAGGAACCCCAGCCTGGAGTATGCTGTCCCAGCAAGGAACCCCAGCCTGGAGTATGCTGCACCAGCAAGGAACCCCAGCCTGGAGTATGCTGTCCCAGCAAGGAACCCCAGCCTGGAGTATGCTGTCCCAGCAAGGAACCCCAGCCTGGAGTATGCTGCACCAGCAAGGAACCCCAGCCTGGAGTATGCTGCACCAGCAAGGAACCCCAGCCTGGAGTATGCTGCACCAGCAAGGAACCCCAGCCTGGAGTATGCTGCACCAGCAAGGAACCCCAGCCTGGAGTATGCTGCACCAGCAAGGAACCCCAGCCTAAAAACACACTACGACAAAGTAGGAGAAGTCCAGAAGTTACAACAAGACTCATTCCTGAAATGCGAAGACTTAACCTATAAGGAAAGCCGATGGTATCTGAAGTTAATCAGCTCTCAAGAGACCGTATCGATAACACATGTTAACGACATGAAAGATTCTCAGGGGACAGTATAAGGAGAATCAGGAGGGCATGTCTAATGTAAGGTAGGATGGAGTAAAGAGACAAGGCTCACAAGCTTAAGGCGCAGAAGAGTCACAAAGACGTATAAAGTTTCTACAGTAGATGCGACAGGCAGAAGTGGCGGGAGTTATTGTATTAAACAACCAACTGCTGGCCTGGTGGGACTAATGACCTAATGCTCGATTTTGTAAGAACCAATCGTATTGTCGTTTGCCTTTCCATTGGAGATTTTCGGCGCCGCGCAGAGGGAAAACCTGCTGCTTGGGTAACAGCTTCTCCGTATCAACCTACCCTGGCTTTGCGCCCGGGAGAAGCCACTCCAGACCGACAACCAGAGCGCAACTCCATAGTCTCCTGAGACTGATGGATGCCTACTATTTAGTAAAGCTCGATGATGGGTACATTCTCCGCCTCATAACTAGCATCTGCCAGTTTCTCGGTCACAGACATGCATAATTAAACTTCACTTAAGACTGATGACAAAAATATTTTACAATTTCTAGCGAGGTAAATCCCTAGGCAGACACTGTGCCGCGAGACTCGTTGATGCATAGCTCCTCGCTGATGACATTTGAAGCCCCTGTGACAAAGTGAAGCAAGGAGCCACAGCTCAAACCGTACAAGCGCCGGCCGAGGGGAGGGCCCGTAGACCATGCTTCACGGGAATACCCGAACATTAATCAACGAATTAAAGTTGACATTCTGAATCCAGGAGCGTGAGCCGGGTGCGTGGTGAGGGTCATGTGATATTGAGAGCAGTATTATGCCGGTGATCTGGGTTTACCTGAGCGGTGAGGGATCGAGGGTTGGGGGTGGGGGGGGGGGGAGGAACATACGTTAGCGGCGCCAGAGAGAATTGAATTTAATTAATGGAAGGAATATGAAGCCGAGTAAAACTATGTTATTTGTGGGGATACTGGGCACGTGGGGACACAGGGCGCGTGGTGACACTGAGCGCATGGGTACACTGGCCGCTTGGGGACACTGGCCCCGTGGGGACATTGGGCGCGTGGTGACACAGGCCGCGTGGGGACACTGGGCGCCTGGTGACACTGAGCGCATGGGTACACTGGCCGCTTGGGGACATTGGGCGCGTGGGGACATTGGGCGCGTGGGGACACAGGGCGCGTGGTGACACAGGGCGCGTGGGGACACTGGCCGCGTGAGGACACAGGGCGCGTGGTGACACAGGGCGCGTGGGGACACTGGCCGCGTGGGGACACAGGGCGCGTGGTGACACAGGGCGCGTGGGGACGCTGGGCGCGTGGGGACGCTGGGCGCGTGGGGACGCTGGGCGCGTGGGGACACTGGGCGCGTGGGGACGCTGGGCGCGTGGGGACACTGGGCGCGTGGGGACGCTGGGCGCGTGGGGACACTGGGCGCGTGGGGACACAGGGCGCGTGGTGACACAGGGCGCGTGGGGACACTGGCCGCGTGGGGACACAGGGCGCGTGGTGACACAAGGCGCGTGGGGACACTGGCCGCGTGGGGACACAGGGCGCGTGGTGACACAAGGCGCGTGGGGACACTGGGCGCGTGGGGACATTGGGCGCGTGGGGACACAGGGCGCGTGGGGACACTGGCCGCGTGGTGACACAGGACGCGTGGGGACACTGGCCGCGTGGGGACACAGGGCGCGTGGGGACACTGGGCGCGTGGGGACGCTGGGCGCGTGGGGACACTGGGCGCGTGGTGACACAGGGCGCGTGGGGACACTGGGCGCGTGGGGACGCTGGGCGCGTGGGGACACTGGGCGCGTGGGGACGCTGGGCGCGTGGGGACACAGGGCGCGTGGGGACACTGGCCGCGTGGGGACGCTGGGCGCGTGGGGACACTGGCCGCGTGGGGACACAGGGCGCGTGGGGACACTGGGCGCGTGGGGACACTGGCCGCGTGGGGACGCTGGCCGCGTGGGGACACAGGGCGCGTGGGGACACTGGGCGCGTGGGGACACAGGGCGCGTGGGGACACTGGCCGCGTGGGGACGCTGGGCGCGTGGGGACACAGGGCGCGTGGGGACACTGGCCGCGTGGGGACACAGGGCGCGTGGGGACACTGGCCGCGTGGGGACACTGGGCGCGTGGGGACACTGGGCGCGTGGGGACACTGGGCGCGTGGGGACGCTGGGCGCGTGGGGACACTGGGCGCGTGGGGACGCTGGTCGCGTGGGGACGCTGGGCGCGTGGGGACGGGACGCTGGGGACGCGGGCGCGTGGGGACGCTGGGCGCGTGGGGACGCTGGGCGCGTGGGGACGCTGGGCGCGTGGGGACGCTGGGCGCGTGGGGACGCTGGGCGCGTGGGGACACTGGGCGCGTGGGGACGCTGGGCGCGTGGGGACGCTGGGCGCGTGGGGACGCTGGGCGCGTGGGGACACTGGCCGCGTGGGGACACTGGCCGCGTGGGGACGCTGGGCGCGTGGGGACGCTGGGCGCGTGGGGACGCTGGGCGCGTGGGGACGCTGGGCGCGTGGGGACGCTGGGCGCGTGGGGACGCTGGGCGCGTGGGGACGCTGGGCGCGTGGGGACGCTGGCCGCGTGGGGACACTGGCCGCGTGGGGACACTGGCCGCGTGGGGACACTGGGCGCGTGGGGACACTGGGCGCGTGGGGACGCTGGGCGCGTGGGGACACTGGGCGCGTGGGGACGCTGGGCGCGTGGGGACACTGGGCGCGTGGGGACGCTGGGCGCGTGGGGACGCTGGGCGCGTGGGGACGCTGGGCGCGTGGGGACGCTGGGCGCGTGGGGACGCTGGGCGCGTGGGGACACTGGCCGCGTGGGGACGCTGGGCGCGTGGGGACGCTGGGCGCGTGGGGACACAGGGCGCGTGGGGACACTGGCCGCGTGGGGACGGTGGGCGCGTGGGGACGGTGGGCGCGTGGGGACGGTGGGCGCGTGGGGACGCTGGGCGCGTGGGGACACTGGGCGCGTGGGGACGCTGGGCGCGTGGGGACACTGGGCGCGTGGGGACACAGGGCGCGTGGGGACGGTGGGCGCATGGGGACACAGGGCGCGTGGGGACGCTGGGCGCGTGGGGACGGTGGCCGCGTGGGGACACAGGGCGCGTGGGGACGCTGGGCGCGTGGGGACACAGGGCGCGTGGGGACGGTGGGCGCGTGGGGACACTGGCCGCGTGGGGACACAGGGCGCGTGGGGACGCTGGGCGCGTGGGGACGCTGGGCGCGGGGGACGCTGGGCGCGTGGGGACACAGGGCGCGTGGGGACGGTGGGCGCGTGGGGACACTGGCCGCGTGGGGACACTGGCCGCGTGGGGACACAGGGCGCGTGGGGACACAGGGCGCGTGGGAACGCTGGGCGCGTGGGGACGCTGGGCGCGTGGGGACACAGGGCGCGTGGGGACACTGGCCGCGTGGGGACACAGGGCGCGTGGGGACACAGGGCGCGTGGGGACACAGGGCGCGTGGTGACACAGGGCGCGTGGGGACACTGGCTGCGTGGGGACACAGGGCGCGTGGGGACACAGGGCGCGTGGGGACGCTGGGCGCGTGGGGACGCTGGGCGCGTGGGGACACTGGGCGCGTGGGGACACTGGGCGCGTGGGGACGCTGGGCGCGTGGGGACGCTGGGCGCGTAGGGACACTGGGCGCGTCGGGACACAGGGCGCGTGGGGACACAGGGCGCGTGGGGACACAGGGCGCATGGGGACACAGGGCGCGTGGGGACACTGGGCGCGAGGGGACACAGAGCGCGTGGGGACACTGGGCGCGTAGTAACACTGGGCGCGTGGGGACGCTGGGCGCGTAGGGACACAGGGCGTGTGCTGACACAGGGCGCGTGGGGACACTGGGCGCGTGGTGACACTGGGCGCGTGGTGACACAGGCCGCGTGGGGACACTGGACGCGTGGGGACACGGCGCGTGGGGACACTGGGCGCGTGGGGACACTGGGCGCGTGGGGACACAGGGCGCGTGGGGACACAGGGCGCGTGGTGACACAGGGCGCATGGGGACACTGGGCGCGTGGGGACACTGGGCGCGTGGGGACACAGGGCGTGTGGGGACACAGGGCGCGTGGGGACACAGGGCGCGTGGGGACACAGGGCGCGTGGGGACACAGGGCGCGTGGGGACACTGGGCGCGTGGGGACACTGGGCGCGTGGGGACGCTGGGCGCGTAGGGACACTGGCCGCGTGGGGACACTGGCCGCGTGGGGACGCTGGGCGCGTGGGGACACTGGCCGCGTGAGGACACAGGGCGCGTGGGGACACAGGGCGCGTGGGGACACTGGCCGCGTGGGGACACAGGGCGCGTGGGGACACATGGCGCGTGGGAACACAGGGCGCGTGGGGACACAGGGCGCGTGGGGACACAGGGCGCGTGGGGACACAGGGCGCGTGGGGACACAGGGCGCTTTAGTGTTCAGCTTTAGCACGAGTGGGTCTGGCAAATGCTTAAATATTCACGCATCATTTTCAAAGCTCCAATATTTAGGCTATTCTGATCATGTGGGTCTCTAGATGAGGAGTGATAACCCATGGTATATATCCTCCTATTGTGGGAAAGTTTCTACTCTTCACCCCATACTGGACCTGCGTGTCGTGTGCAATTTTCAGGGGAATATTAAAGTATTAATTTCTGAGACCATTTCTAAAGTGTGTCTGGGTCCTCTGTACTTCCACACACGTTATTTATATCTTCGTCCATCTCATTAACTTCCCATATTTTAAAACAGGAAAGGTCCTAATAAAGATCATTGTGGTACACTATTGATGACTTTTCTCCCTCTGACCCTTTGTTTCTTATCAGAGAGGCATTCCTTCATCCACTCACACATATAACTGTTAATTACCGCATTCTTAACGAGCTAGAATAAGTCACCCAAATGGGTGGTGTTGAACACTTTCTGGTAGTGGAAGAGGGCCATGATGGTGGTACCCCGGTGATTCCCCGGTGGTACCCTGGTGGTACCCCGGTGATACCCCGGTGGTACCCTGGTGGTACCCTGATGGTACCCCGGTGGTACCCTGGTGGTACTCTGGTGGTACCCAGGTGGTAGAGCCTCACCCAGAGCGTCATGATGGGGGGTACCCCCGATGGTACCCCCAGTGGCGACACAGAATTAAGGAGGAACATCTAAGAGTTATTAGAAATATGTGTTGAATAATGAACCTCACATTGTTTGAGTTAGGAAAACACTATTTGTCAAATATTGATACTGTTCTTAAAAGATTACCCCATTTTGCACCCGCAAGATAACTCAAGATTTTAAGGGTTGACAGATGTTAATCTTCTTGTTTGATGAGCTGTTCACTTGAGACAGTTAAGCAAGTCCCAGCTGTGTCTGGGTACAAGTGACAGGATGAACAACCTAGCGGATTTTCTTCCTATTGGGGAGTGTTGTACATGCTGCTATGGCGGTGTGTCCACTCACAAGATGAGTGGCGCTGCCCAATAAACTCGCCCCTCGGGGCAAAATAAAAAAAAAAAATAGGGGGAACAGAGGAAGCTTCGTCTTTTCACTGTTTTGGGGTCTATTTGGCGGAGTGAAGGAGTTGGCGAGGTAAAGGAGTTGGCGAGGTGGAGGAGTTGGCGGGGTGGAGGAGTTGGCGAGGTGGAGGAGAGGGGAGAGAGAGAGGGGAGAAGGAGTTAGCGAGGTGGAGGAGGGGAGAGAGTGAGGGGAAGGAAGGGGTGAGAAGCGCCTCGTCAGCAAGGAACCATCCATCACTGGTCGCGTCACAGTACTCGCTGGGGGCGGTGACTTAAACAACTCGTGTGTGCCAAATCACTTGAGACAAATGGCTGGACGGGCGTGATGGATGTCCGGCCACCCGTCCCCACTTATTCAAATGAGGCGCCGGTCCGGGTGATCTCCCGCGACACGTCGTCCCCGTCACCCGAAGATAAAAACTTGTGTTGATTACTTAGTCTGCGTCCTCCTGCTGCTGATAGGTAGAGCGACGCCTCGCTGCTCGCAAAACAGCGTTCGTGCCCGGCCCCCAATTACCTGGCTAATGACTCAACTAAGTACTCTGTATTTGTTGACATCAAAGGAGCTTTCGACAAAGCACAGGGGATTGCGATCCTGGACGAGCTTGCATGCATGGGTGTCAAGGGGAGACTCATGAAATGGGTTGAAGACTACCTCACAGGGAGGAAAGCCAAGGTCTGCTTCAATGGAGCAGTCTCCAGAACAATGAATATGGAACTCGGGACCCCCCCAAGGAGGAGTCTTAAGCCCCACACTATTCAATGTACTTATGAACGCCATTGTAAATATTGATTTTCCGAAAGGAACACAACAAGTGGGATGGGCAGATGATGTCCTAATACAAGCTCCCACCTTGGGAAAAATTAAACAGTTCATTGAACTCCTTGGAAGGAAATGTATTGAGTTCGGTTTCACTCTCTCCACAAACAAGACAAAAGCAAACTCTCATCACACGCGGGGAGAAAATGAAGAACTACAAATTAATGGTGTAACACTTGAATGGGTTGACCACTATCGGTACCTTTCCGTCACTGTCGGCTCTAACAAGGGGAAGAAAGAGGAGCTCAACCAACTCATAGGAACATGCTAAAGTCGACTCAGGGCACTGAAAGCTATGACCTGGAATGGTCATGGAGCCTCTATTGCCGTGCTTAAAATGATGTACACAGCCTATGTGCGCTCCGTCATAGACTATGCCGCACTAGTCTTATGCACCTACTGCAAAATCGATATGAAAAGGCTTGAAAGCATTCAGAATGAAGCCATGACAATCATTCTTGGAGTTCCAAGAACTGCCAAAACGTCTAATCTACGAGAGGAGTTGTCCCTCCTCGGTGTTAAAAGCAGAATTAAGGTGCTGAATGCTAAGCTTGCAATTAATAAGATAGCAATATCATTGTAATGGGGATCTCTGGCTAAGAAAAAACTGAGTTCTGCGCGACTTTCAGGGGGAAACAGGAAAAGCAAAAAATGGCATCACAGATCAGTCTGCTTCCTCGAAGAGCTTCACCTGCTTGAGCAAGCCCGTGAGTCCTGCCTGTAGAGAGGTTACCTCCCTGGGAGGATGAACCATGTAGGATTATCATTAACGAGATGGCAGCGAAAAAATCCAACATGATACCACAAGAAATGAGGCACAAGTATCTCGGGAACCTTTATAAAGAAGCCGGAGATGAACTAGATCAAATTTACACTGACGGGTCATCTAATCCTGTCAATGGCAGGGCTGGTGCAGCATACACGGTAATTAAGGATAATGTTTTCCAACGCAGAAATGAAGGGAAACCGCGTATTGAGAACTATGCCTCTTCAACGCAAGCAGAGCTAACTGCCATTGTTATGGCGTTAAGGTTTCTTGAAGGGAACACTAATGGTGCAGTGATTTGTACTGATTCAAAAGGAGCACTTCAAAGCCTAAGTAAAAATCGGGCAGAAAATCTTGCAATAGTCGCTGAAATTAAGAGAGCTGTGAGAGTACTTACCAATCAGGGAAGAGTCATCAAGTTTCTGTGGATCCCCTCCCATGTTGGAATATGTGGGAATGAACGAGCAGATGTGCTGGCTGCTGAAGGAGACTATATTGAATACTTCATACCCAAGACTCTACTACAAATTAGAGGTATTGTCAGGCAACATCACCGCGACAAGGTAACTGAGGAAAGGAGGATACAAGCACAAACCAGTGAATCTGTACGATGGTACAACATGGTTGCAACTGGCAATCCCAATCATTATGGACGAAGAGGAGGAGGACGCGGGAGAGAATCAGTAATAGCGAGAATCCGTCTTGGATACAAATATCCATGGAGATTTGGAATGGAAACAACAGTTGATCAGCGAAGTTGCAGAATCTGTGGTGAGAGTGATGGACACCGCCTTGACCACTATCTACGTGAATGTGAACACCTAAAAAACATTATAAATATGTGTTGAATAATAAACCCTACATTGTTTGAGTTAGGAAAACACTATTTGTCAAATATTGATACTGTTCTTAAAAGATTCCCCCATTTTGCACCCGCAAGATAACGTAAGCTTTTAAGGGTTGACAGATGTTAATCTTTTTGTTTGAGGAGCTGTTCACTTGAGACAGTTAAGCAAGTCCCAGCTGTGTCTGGGTACAAGTGACAGGATGAACAACCTAGCGGATTTTCTTCTTATTGGAGAGTGCTGCTATGCATACATGCTGCTATGGCGGTGTGTCCACTCACAGGATGAGTGGCGCTGCCCAATACTGTCACTATGGCGGTGTGTCCACTCACAGGATGAGTGGCGCTGCCCAATACTGTCACTATGGCGGTGTGTCCACTCACAGGATGAGTGGCGCTGCCCAATACTGTCACTATGGCGGTGTGTCCACTCACAGGATGAGTGGCGCTGCCCAATAAACTCGCCCCTCTGGGCAAAATTTAAAATGTAAACCATCTTTGCTCAAGGACACATATTGCCCCTGCAAGTAGCACGTGACAGCCAGTTAATGTCTCCAGACGCCACACAACAACAATTGTACACTGACCTGACCAAGATGTTCATCCCTGGAGGCGGTGTACGTAGTGTCACACAGTCTTCCTGACCTCTAAGTGCTCACTCTTAGAGCTTCTGAGACGACAAAATAAGTCGTCTGAAAGAAAGTGCTCACTAAGTGAGCACTTTTTTATTTATTTTTATTTATTTATATATACTGTGACGGTAACGCGTTGGTGTTCGGCTGTTTAAGGCTAGGGGTATGGCCTCGTCACATAGTTATAAAAAAAAAGAAAAAACTGGAACGTCGTCTGTGGTAAGGTAAGGAGAAGACACACAAAACACAAGTAAATTTTAACAATGAAATTTTAATTACGTTAAATAAATCAAAACATGAAAAAATGGACAAACAAATTTGTATAATAAAATCAATCAATCAAAATAATAAGAATAATTAAATGACACAATGAAAAGTTACGTTAAGATAAAATAACAAGAAGTGCAACACAAAATTAAAATGGGAGGTGCTGGAATATTGGCTTTAAGCTATCACCTCTCTCAGTACACGCTAACGTCTAGCCGGGAGGAGTGATAACTACGAAAGCACTGAACATTCTGAGGTCTGAGGTCGTGGCGACCCCAGACATCAAGTAGTATGGGGGGGCGAGTGCAGGTGCAGCCAGACCGGCGACCAATCAGTGGGGCCGGTAGCGATCAACGAGTAGTTTGGCGGTTTGAGTCTGAACAGGTGTCTCTGGCTGCAACGTTTTGCGCTCTGGCAAGCCTTGCTGGTGTTGTTGTCGTTGTTGGACATTTCTTCCATAGTAGTTTTATATAACCACAACGACGTAATTGTGGAGGGAAGAGCA